TTCCATTCTCAATTTTATTCAAGATAAATGTATTACTTTAGTATTTAGTATTGATCAATGAACCATGCAGGTGAGCAGGGACAGATCTAAAAGGGGTGCACAGTGAGTGCACCTCCACAACTAGATGCTTTGGTGGCAGGTACCAGTTTTGGTGTACCAGAACATGTGTCCCATGCAGAAATTTTGTTAAAGTTAAGTAATGAAATATATAATTGCATCATGTTGACTGACAAAAACAAATGAATGTAAATTCTAGACTACTGTACTACAGTTGTAAGTAGTTGCATATACAGGTTGGGGATTTCCTTCACATATGGGACCAATCAGAAGTCAAAATTGGGGTCTCCTCTCTTGATTTCATCCAATCAAAGTAGGAAAAAAATTCAGTTTTATGTAAACAAAAATATCTTGAGATTTTGATGGTTGGGATAGGTGTGGACAAGGCTCTAATTCATTGAATATCATTTATCTCTTGAAATTTGCCTAAAATTCTTGCTTGGTATTAGCAGGATTCTGAAGGTGAGGAATTGATTTGTATCAGGGCATCATATTTATTGCATTATTTGCAATGCATTTATAAATTTTAAAATCTCCATGCTGGACAGACATCCAAATCTACAGGTTTTCTATATATTCACATAAGCATGCACACATCTTAGTTATTTGAAACCATAAATTATATTTGCATATTAGCTTGAATGATTTTTCAGGAAAATTAAATCATAAATCCATGAAATTCTAAAGATTTATTGTAAAATAACTGGTTTCTGCCACCTTAAGAGGTCCTGTGAGTCTAGGTGCATCTTCAACAATGGCCACTCTCCAACAACATCAATGATAATAATATAATTCATGACTAAATTTTCTTTTTTGCTGATCACTCTGTTGTTTACAGTTTTTATTTACAATGGTTTTTGCCAAAAGTGCAAATATGAATAAAAGATCATCATCATTTAAGGGTAATAACTTCTATGAGGACATGTACAATCCTTCCATACAACAAATATAGTTGACCTATTGCATATAGTATTAGAAAAAAAGACCAAAACTCAAAAACTTAACTATAACCACTGAACCATGAAAATGAGGTCAAGGTCAGATGACACCTGCCAGTTGGACATGTACACCTTACAATCATTCCATACACCAAATATAGTAGACCTATTGCATACAGTATAAGAAAAACAGACCAAAACACAAAAACTTAACTATAACAACTGAACCATGAAAATGAGGTCAAGGTCAGATGACACCTGCCAGTTGGACATGTACACCTTACAATCCTTCCATACACCAAATATACTAGACCTATTGCTTATAGTAACTGAGATATGGACTTGACCACCAAAACTTAACTTTGTTCACTGATCCATGAAATGAGGTCGAGGTCAAGTGAAAACTGTCTGACGGGCATGAGGACCTTGCAAGGTACGCACATACCAAATATAGTTATCCTATTACTCATAATAAGAGAGAAATTAACATTACAAAAAACCTTAACTTTTTTTTCAAGTAGTCACTGAACCATGAAAATGAGGTCAAGGACAATGGACATGTGACAGACGGATACTTCATAACATAAGGCATCTATATACAAAGTATGAAGCATCCAGGTCTTCCACCTTCTAAAATATAAAGCTTTTAAGAAGTTAGTTAACGCCACCGCGGCCGGATCACTATCCCTATGTCGAGCTTTCTGCGACAAAAGTCGCAGGCTCGACAAAAACTGCATCTGCATATTATCTTGAGAATTTTTATGCCTGTAATATTAAAGGTCAAAAGAAGAACCTGCATATGAATTTCAGCAAATTCAACAGATCGGAGTTTTTGATATAACTTCCCGTAGCTAAGGTAATTCCCAGTGTTATGCTTTAGCATTGTGTATACTGTAATGCTATAGCTTTGAGTATAGTGTAATGCTAAAGCTTTGTGTATGGTGATTTGCTATAAATGGACTGGTGTAATGCTATAAATGTACTGATGTAATGCTATAAGAATGTAACAAGGGCAATGTTATGAGAATGATGATGCTAAAAAAAAATGTATCTAGTGTAATTTTATTAGAATGTTCCTAGTGTAATGCAAGGAGACTGCTATATGAGTTTACCTAGTGTAGTGCCATATGAATTGTGCCTGTTTAACTGCAAATGAATTTTTTAGCTTTTTTGTTAATATAATATAAAAATAAGGAGACGTGGTATGATTGCAAATGAGACAACTATTTACCACAGTTTAAGGTAGATTGGGTGTTTTTTTCTGAGTGTACGTTCTGGTCAAGTTACAAAAATACTTTTTTGTTTTAAAAATATTTTGCCAAGAGTATCAATCAACTTACAACAAAATACCTAAAACTTATAATTTAAAGATTGAACTATAAAAAAATTAAGTGTTGTAAAGTATATTTAAAATTTTGGGGGATTTTTTTAAGAAAATAAGGCTGTGACCCCTATTCTTATTTGATATTTCAGAAGTATTAATGAAAAGAAATTCTCTCATCGAATTTTAGCCAATTCTATCGTTTAATGTGTCCTCAATAAGGAAAACTTAAGTTTCCCCTATAAAAACAATATAAAATAACCCAAATTTCGTTAATTTCATTGTATTTTTACGAAAAAATAAGGTCGGTGATTCCCAGTTTTTATATTGAAATTTGAAATTACATTCACCAAGAAGTTTAAGAAATATCTATCGTCCAACATTTAGACACCCCAGCTATCTTAAATGAAGTGGATGTAAGCAATTATTATAGGCAACCATACGGCCTTCAACAAAGAGATAAATCCATACCGTATAGTCGGCTATAAAAGGCCCCGACATTGTATACATTATTTTCTTCGCCCTTCCCCCTTCTTCCCCTACCTTATACTCTTATACTCTATTCTATCATAATCTTCAATTGAGACTTGAGAAGAAAAATTTTATTTCAAAATTGTATTCACTACTTCTGAATGATACACAAAAGCATAACAAAAGAAAAACAGCTATCCCTTCGAAATTGGAATTTGATAAAGAAAATAATAACATGTTCTATCTTTATAATACATGTGTAGTTTCAGTTTCAACCATGGTACTAAATTTAGATTTTAATTTCACCAAAAATTGCGGACGGAATAGAAGACAAATGTTTATTTTCTGCAACATGAAATTGAGATTTGGATGACATAGATTTTACTTTTTCTGAGATAAATGTTATAGTGCTCAATTCTTAGTTTCTGTGTAATTTTTTGTGGACGGAATCTGATGGTTTTTTTTTGTTTGCTGTTGGCTTTGTTCTTCGACTTATAAATGTTGTGGTCTATTACCTTTTATATGTTTTACATAAATATAAATCACTGGCATGTCCTAAAATTTTCAATTGCATAAAAAACGTTAATGCCATGTCTTTCTAGTTCAACACACAAATTCACATGCAATATAATTATTCGTTACCTACAATTTTACGATACACTGTGAATTTCATTCAAAACTATGGTTTTTCAAAAAATAATGTGGGGTCAATTCTGGTTTGATTTCAATGAATTTGATATGAATAGAAGCAGAATTGTCACTGGTTTATTTGTTTATTTGGTTATAATTTTGTTATTAGGCATTTTTACTCTTTGTTGAAATAAACATGAGTCGTATTGTGTACCTGCTCCTGCGAATCTAAAACAAAAACAGTGGTAATAAAGTCAGACTAACTCACAATAGATACTCAGATTTCTGATTGAAGTCATTCTGATAATTTCTTAGAAGTTTTGAGATAGCACAGGAATACTTGTTTGGATTCGTGATAGACCGGACGAAGTCATTTCTCTTTCATGTGCCCATTTTTCCTATCTTGGAGTAGGGGAGATAACTCACGTAACTAAAGACGCACGTTTTTTATCCCAAATTCCACTAGAGGTGTGCAATTATGTATACCTCGCCTTAAGGGCAATTACTCCTAGAAAAAGTCATCTGAGTGTTTTGACATATATGAACAATTGGTAGAGCTCAACATTCTGAACATTTTTGCCCTGTCAGATTTTCTTTATTTATAACGGTTTTCAAAATAATAGACAAAACTTGCATTTTACCCCTATGTTCTATTTTTAGCCATGTCGGCCATCTTGGTTGGCAGTCGGGGTCCTCAGACAGAATTTTTAAACTAAATACCCCAATGATGATTGTGACCCAAGTTTGGTTAAATTTGGCCCAGTAGTTTCAGAGGAGAAGTTTTTTATAAAAGTTAACGACGACGGACAACGACAGAGGACGACAGATGCCAAGTGATGAGAAAAGCTCACTTTGCCCTCTGGGCCAGGTGAGCTAAAAATGTATAGAAGCAACTGAACCAATATGGGTTGTGGGACCCTTATGTTATGACAAATGGTCAATCTCTCCAAGTTGCATCTGCTTTTTAAATAAAAGTTTAAATTAGGAGTTTGAAAATTGAATCCATTTCCACATACTGTATATAAATTTTACTACTTATTATGTTCTGGAAGTAAAGTATTCATAATGAAAGAATAACATTCCAATGTCCCCTGCTGATGCCCATATCTTATCTGTCCAAGGGCAATAGTTCCAACAAAAAAGTAGCACTGTCGAGCTAAGCAAACCTCGCTACTAATTCAAAGTATCAGAAAGCTGGCAGAACTTTCCAACTTTGATATATTTTCATAAAACTTTTGAAACAATTACACTTGGGATAGAGCTAACAAGACCAGATGGAGAAATACTTGGTATTTTCTTGTCCACTGCACTGTGTTGCTACAGGAGATAGGGGGTAAAAACTGTTAGAATAGACATATTTTCTGCAAATTCTGTGAATAAAAAACCTCATCAAAGATACCAGGTTTATAATTTTGTATGCCAGACGTGCGTTTCATTTACCTTACATTATAGCTATATCGCAAAAGGATATTTTATTATTTATTATAATAAATTCTTGCCCCACTAAGCCTTTCTAAATAATTTCAAGCAACCATTACACATATATTTGAACACAAATTGAGATGATAGCCTGTATAACTCACATATCACTGGACCCTGATACAAAATAGTCTCCATCACATGACACACTGTTAACTGCTGCTGTATGACCTCTGATCACCTTCCACTGGATTAATGTCTGTCTAAACCATACCCGAACAGTTTTATCATATGATCCAGAAATACTGTAATAAATTTCAACATATGTAAGAAGTAAAACAAATAGAATGAAATTATTATGAAAAAGCTTCTGTAAAAGTTTACTGACATTCCATGAAGGTTTGAAAAAGATATCAATATTCTGATAACTTTTCCAAAGGGTAGACAATTTTACATTTTAATTTTGGCCTGTTGACTGTCAACCACCATAATAATTATTTTTGGTATTAATTAAATTTAATAATTTCATTTCACAGTTTTTGTCAACTGTTAACATTAAATTGTCAACTATAGACCTGTACACCTGTTGACTGCCTACTTAATTGTTACCACTTAAGGCAGTCTTCCGCCATCTTGGGATTGTAAAATAGCAGAAAACAATTTGTCTAAATCTTTAATGAAATGTGCAAATTTTGGAGAAGAATGTCACTAATTTGTTATATTCATGCGACTGTTTAACAAATACAAATACAGAATATTATTTGTATGATTCAATTTTTTCAACTTTGCCATGTAAGGGGAGATAACTCAGATAATGAAACTTTTATACTGGAATGTATTATGAATTTACCTAACAATGTTGTAACAATTATAATCTATACCATGGTGCACCTATCATGGGGACCAGATATATCACAAGAATACTGAAAGAGTCTTCTTTAACTAATTTTGCTTAAAGTTTTCCTCAAGTGCAGGAGGTCGTGGGTTAGAATCCCGGCCTGGTCAAACCAAAGACTTTGAAATTGGTATGTGCTGCATCTCTGCTAAGTACAGGGCATTTAGGAGTAGAAGCAAAGACTGGCCGAATCAAAGTCAGAATAATGTGTCTGGGTAAGGTGAAATGTCTTCCTGGGGACTGTCACCTTGTGAACTAGCACGTTTAAAATCTGGCTCAGTGTGTCTGTCTAGTACAAAGCAGGGTTAATATTCATATTACATTAACATGTTCTGGTCCTGAATATGAATATTAATTTGCCACTGGACATTAAGCAGCCATCCATCATCATCATCATCATACTGAACCTTCCAAGTCTTTTTTGTCAAATTATGTTTTAATAAATTCCTTTGTTTTAAATATACAGCTTTTATATTACAACAATTAATAACATACATATATTCTGGCCCAATATATAAGCATGAAACACAATCTGTATGTTTGGCAAGGACTGTCCTTTTCTCAAATGTACGCAAATCCCACACCTGAAAAGCAAATAAAAAAATATTATAAAGAACTAGTTGGGACAGTTTCATAGCAACCTTAGTAATCTTAAATCAAACTTTAATTTTAAACTTTGACATACTTCAAACTTCTATGATAACTGAGTGTGACATATTTCAAGGTCCATAAGACCAATATATGTAGGGATGAGGGTTTACCACCATGAGTTAACAATTGATATCAAGGATATCAGTGAGAATTCAATTACAGGAGATTCATCAAAACTTTTCAGTTTTGAACATAAACAAATTTAGTTGTCTCATTGGCAATAATACTACATATTCTCATTTCTATAATTAATGGTACTCCTGCACAATAAATAAAGAGGTAATTTTTTGTTAATGCATTTTAATACAGTCCTAAATGATAAATCATCTCAGCCAAGGTGAATACTACTCTATTAGAACCTCTATGTTCTACGTAAAATACTACTATTTCAAGCCTGGTTAGAAAGAACATATCAGAAAGTAGTACATATTTTAAAAAAAGCAAACATTTTTTTTTTTTTTTTTAAACCCAGGATTTAAAGGAGAACAGAAACATAAGCAACCAAGAAAAATGCATGGGCAAATAGCACGCCCACATGTTACTCCAGAATGAATCAGGGGGGAAAACAGAAAGATCTATGAATTGAAGAACTAGAGGCTCTCAAGAGCCTGTGTTGCTCACCAGATTCTACTTTGGTTTTGGAAATCATGTAAAAATAGATTAAAATCATAAGAGATACCCTAATAATGATTGAGGCCAAATTTGGTTTTTATATTGGCCCTGTAATTTAATCCAGAGCAGAAGACTTTTGTAAAGTTTACAGATATTACCAATAAATTCATCGAAATTGTTGAAAATTACTTTATAAGGACAATGACAAATCAGCTACATAGTAACAACACTTGGTCAGCACCTAAAAAAAAACCATTCATACCACATTTGGTTTCAATCCATTAAGCGGTTTTCTAGAAGAAGACATTTGTATATATTTCCCATAGGGTCCTTTGTTAAACTAAGTCCTCACGTTGGCAGCCATCTTGGTTGATAGATTTGCTACACAGTAATATAACTTGGTCAGCACCTCATTAGGAACATTCATGCCATGTTTGGTTTCATTCGATTCAGTGGTTCTCTAAATGAAAACATTTGTACGTATTTCCCATAGGGTCCCATGTTAAACTAAATCCCCGCTGGCGGCCATCTTGGATGATTGATCACCTACAAAGTTACAACACTTGGTCAGCACCTCATAAGGAACATTCATGCCATGTTTTAATTCATTCCATCTAGTGGTTCTCTAAAAGAAGACATTTGTATGTATTGTCCATAGGGTGCTATGTTAAACTAAGTCCCCTACTGGCGGCCATCTTGGATGATTGATCGCCTACAAAGTACAACACTTGGTCAGCACCTCATAAGGAACATTCATGCCTTGTATTATTTCATTCCATTCAGTGGTTCTCTAAAAGAAGACATTTGTATGTATTTCCCATAGGGTCCTATGTTAAACTAAGTCCCTCTCTGGGGGCCATCTTGGATGATGGAGCGGCTTCAAAGTAACAACACTTGGTCAACACCTCAGTAGGAACATTCATGCCATGTTTGGTTTCATTCCATTCTATGGTTCTCTAAAAGAAGACATTTGTATGTATTGTCCATAGGGTCCTATGTTAAACGAAGTCCCCCGCTGGCAGCCATCTTGGATGATTGATTGGCTAGAAAGTAACAACACTTGGTCAGCACCTATTAAGGAACATTCATGCCATGTTTTGTTTCATTCCATTTAGTGGTTCTCTAAAAGAAGACATTTGTATGTATTTCCCTTAGGTCCTATGTTAAACTAAGTCCCTCTCTTGTGGCCATCTTGGATGATGGATCGGCTTCAAAGTTTCAACACTTGGTCAGCACCTCATAAGGAACATTCATGCCATGTTTGGTTTCATTCCATTCAGTGGTTCTCTAAAAGAAGACATTTGTATGTATTGTCCATAAGGGTCCTATGTTGAAAGAAGTCCCCCACTGGCGGCCATCTTGGATAATGGATCAGCTACAAAGTAACAATACTTGGTCAGCACCTAATAAGGAACATTCATGCCATGTTTGGTTTTATTCCATTCAGTGGTTCTCTAAAAGAAGACATTTGTATGTATTGTCCATAGGGTCCTATGTTAAAACGAAGTCCCCCACTGGCGGCCATTTTGGATAATGGATCAGCTACAAAGTAACAACACTTTGTCAACTCCTCATAAGGAATATTCATGCCATGTTTGGTTTTATTCCATTCAGTGGTTCTCTAAAAGAAGACATTTGTATGTATTGTCCGTAGGGTCCTATGTTAAACGAAGTCCCCCGCTGGCGGCCATTTTGGATAATGGATCGGCTACAAAGTAACACCACTTTGTCAGCTCCTCATAAGGAATATTCATGCCATGTTTGGTTTCATTCCATTTAGTGGTTCTCTAGAAGAAGTTCAAAATGTAAAAAGTTAACGACGACGACGACGACAGACGACGACGATGACGGACGACGGACGCCAAGTGATGAGAAAAGCTCACCTGGCCCTTGCTAAAAATGTGCTCAAAGTGGTTAAGTGATAAGCTGAACATAAACCAGAAGATGATTACAATATGTGACACAGAAACTACATCAAAATCAACTATTAAATCCCATTCAATTTTAGAAGAGCAGAATGCCGATCAGTTGCAAATACTAAACAGAACAAGGCAGTTACCCTTAGAAGGAGATGAGACATTGAAACAGATACAAATAAACTTTATATTCCCTTCAATGCATATATATTATATATTTCTATTGTTAACGTACTTACAATGATGGTTGTATCCCATGATCCTGTAAGTAGTGTGTTCCCTTCAAACTGTAAACATCTAATACCTCCCTAACAAATAAATAAAATCTTGATCAACAGCTAACATTAAAGAATTAACTTACAATTGTAAGATTTAGGATTTTTTTCTTGTTCATCTCAGTCAAAATGACTAATCATCTAAAACATTATTCCCAAATAGAGTTCTTGTTTTATAATGGGTTGTTTTCATCATCATATAACTAGTCTCCTAGGAACCTGAATCACTCACATGGTAAAAATATGCAGCATTGAAATAAATAGCAACAGTGGCAGCCATCCTTAATACACTAAGCAGGTTTGCTCCAGATCTACTCAGAGATTAACTTAAAAATGTTACGAAATTCTTTTAAAGATTTGATTTGGAAGTTTGCCTGTTCCTATGGAAATTTTATTACAAATGGGATAGCACATCCTAATTTCTACTGTGCAAATATTTATAAAGCCTGTAAATTTAGATACGAACTGTAGAAACTTATTCATTCTTTGAATAAACTTTTTCTTTAAGGTTATCAATTCAAAACCATTGTTAGATCTTTGAATCCTATCTTTATTGGTACTAAGATTGATTTTGTTTTCAATAAATTAAAACATAACTATATATTTATTACTATACTGTTATGAACACTTATTGATCTAAATCCGGCCTATACTTATATTTGGGCTTTGGAAAAGGTCATGTTTATCTCAGATTATTAATGACATCTTACACTAATCTGTAGAATGTAGGGTCGTAGCTGCCATTAGGCACTTTAGGCATGTGCCTACACATAATTTTTTCACAAATGATTTTTTTTTATTAAAAAAAATAAAAAAATAATGACAACTTTATCTGTAAATGCATGTGAAGTCGTCAAAACTCTTTAATTTTCAAATGTCATTTGTACACTAGTCTATCATCCTTAGTGAATGGAGTATTCAATGGATAGAATTGTATGTACATTATATTAGAACTTTGGTTCTGATCATTTCACTTCTATCAACAAATGCATGAATGAACCTCAACATGCTCAAAACCCTGACATTTTATTCTTAGATGCATGATTTGTTTTTATTAGTTGTTGTTGGCTTTTAACTAGCTTTCCACTTGGTCTTCATCCGACCTACAATAAAACCCTTGCCAAGTGGGGCGTCCGTTCAGCTGTGTGGGATGTATGAATACGCAGTCACGTCTGGACAGAATGGGGACGTTAAATCCAATGCCTAGTGTAGAGAGAATGCCACGCTCTCTACATGTTAAGAACACTTGCAACAACTAATTGAGGGGTCCGTAGGTGGTCTGCTGAAAGGCAAAATTTCTGTCCCTATCCAATAAACTCTCATTTTCCAATGTCATTTCCAAATTTCCAGACCTTCATCCTGGACGACTCCTATTACAGGACCTACCTGTTGTATTAATTGTACATTTGTTTTTGTCCTGAACATGCATGAACTATTTGCCACTGGATGTTTAGCAATCAATTAATCAATCAGCTAGCTTTCAGTAACTTCGAGTACTCTCAGATCAACGTGTAATGACCATAATTATTCAAATTCCTTAGGTAGGAATTTTACAGTACAGGATATCAGAAAATATGAAATTCTTGAATTTTGTTAGTATGAACAGAACCTAACTTCTGGCTTCATTAGGCATCGACTGTGTGTGTATGTGTTTGTGTGGCTGGGGAGAGTGAAGGTTTAAGAATCAAAAGATGAATGGTCGATGCCTAGCTCAAAGGATAGTATTATTATATAGTAGTCTCAGTGTATACGTGCCTATTTTTTTAATGAAGGATCGTCAAAATGTACTATCAATTGACATATATATATCAATTATCCTCAATCAGAAAGGAATAGATATGAAAATACTAAACAGGATGTACTGTTTAATTGAAGGGCTACGCTGATCTACGCTGGGCAATGCATATTGTAAATACTTTTTTTTAGATTTCTGTTTGTACTGCGTAAATTCATCAGTCAGATGTTATTGTAAAATTATTTATAATTCTTTGAACTTTTCTTCATGTATATTATGATAAAATTACCAGTAAATTTTATGTTTTTTTGTACACAAAATTTTGCAACAAAAATGCTGAAAACCGTTTTCTGTCAGGGGGCTTTGCCCCCCTAAACCCACTACCAGGGCTCTGCCCTGGACCTGCTGGGGGCCTTGAGCAGCCCCCAGACCCCTGCCGCAATTTGTGCCTACAGTTTATTGGATACCTAGCTATGCCCCTGCACATTGATATTATAATCTGGGAAAACATGATTTATTTATAAGTTATAATTAGCTTTGAGTAAAGCAAGTACTCATAGTAGATTGGTACTTTATGTATTTTGTCAGTTGTTTTATGAGCTTCCTGCTGATCTGATGAGTCAAGCCCTTTCCAAATGACTTCTACAGTTTGTACTTAAGTTGTGCAATTTCACCACTGTCCTGGTTAGGGTTAACCATAGTTGGTTCTGTATATGCTTGTCATCTTTCAGTGTAGGAAAAACAATAAGATAAAACAAACAAAAACCCCTGAAGACATCTGAAGGTCAAAATACAGACTTCAACAATAGATAGGTGTCCATACCATCTGTCAATCTCCTGAGTGTATATAAGGACTCATGAGTCTATTTCCTCTACCATTAAAGATATTTAGAAGTCATTGAAACAAAATGGCAGATTAATGAGATTTTCTCCTTATGATATTTAAGTTCTCTGACACTTAATCACTATAACAAAATTTTGTAAAACAAATAAAATGTAAATCATTTGCATAATATCTTATCTATGTACTGTGGTTGCATGGTTTATAACATACTTTAGTCGAGAGTCATTAAAATTACACTTTAAAATAAAACATTACCTTGTGGCCATAAAATTTGTGTATGCTTTTGCCACTTCTGATATCCCATAACCTGATAGTCCTATCTAATCCAGCTGATATAAGTCTCTTCTTGTCAAAATGTACACATAAAATGGAATTCAAATGACCCTGCAAAAACATTTATTTACTATTACTGTGCTAATGAAAGAGTCTTGACATAAGGAAACACTATATCAAATTACATTTGGAATACATTCCTTTAAACTGAAGCTGGAGAAAAACTTTCAGTTGATTTAAAAAAAAAATGCTGTAGTTGGTATAAAGCAGGTATCTATTGTGAAATAACCCATTAGTATTGTTAAAACTAATGAATATCAGATCACTCATGCATTTAAAGTCAACCTCAATGCTGATCTAACACTAGAACCTAATAGCTATTGTCTATTTTTCCCCTGGTTTCAACATCACTTTTTTGGGATGTTTCGGTCCACTATGGGATTTTCTACTGTAAAACTTAATAATCAGTGTGGAAGGAAATGTTGTGTTTTTTGTTTGTTTTAAACTCTCTTATAAAGATAATCATCCATTGAGTAGGTCTTCCAATCATGTTTTTACATAATACATGAACCTTTAAGATTTTCACCCTAGTACATAGATTTGTCCCTTAGTCAGTAAACTAATGAATAACTAAACATTTCTTTGCAATAAATGGTTATGCTATAAATTGTTTCCTGTTCCTGCTTCTTTTTTTCTATTATTTTGGAGTATTACTGGCAGTGTTTTATCTTGAAATCACCAGATCAAATGCAAAATAAATTGTGTTTATTTTTGATATTTCTTTCATGATGCACTATTTAGAAGGGGATTTACCAGTAATTTTGCATATAAACATGTTCTGGAGTATTACTCGCAGTGTTTTTTTCTTGTAATCTTTCAGGATTTATTGGAATTAAAATACCGTGTTCATCCTTACGATTCTTTTTACTGAATTTACTAATTAAATGAAATTAATTTTACATAAATTCTTTTTCCAAGAATGGAATGTATGAAAAATAAATACAAGAGTGCACAAGATGAAATGTCACGCCTGCTTTATTTATCATGATTAAATCTATGTTGAATGTCTGCAGTATGTGGCTCAAATAGGTCAATTTCATTTTCAAAAATGAACACTCTCCACCATTGTAGACTAGAATATAATTCATGACCAAAATCTCTTTTTGTTGATCTGGTATTGCTGATCATTTTTTTCTTTTTCCAGTTTATCTTACCTTCTAAAGTTTCCCCATTACACAAAAAAGTGTAAAAAAAATTATCTAAGGGCAATAACTCCAATAAGAAGACAACTGACAAATTCATCTATGATGACCCATTTGTGTTTTTTGTATTGGTGATCATTTTTGTTTTTTAAAGTTTTCATCCATCTATTAAAGTTTTCAAGATGATAAGCAAAATCGCCAAAAATTGTTAAAAAAATGTCATTTAAGGGCACTAACTCCTTTAAAGAGTTGAGCAACAATTTCAGCAACATTAACATATTTGTTCTTGTGGAACATTTTTGCTTTTTTAAATTTCTACCTAGCTATCAAAGTTTTCAAGATATTAATGGACAAATAACATAATAAAAAATGGTAAAAGTTGTCATTAAATGGCAATAACTGCAATAAGAAGTAGATTCACAATTTCGGCCATGTTTGACTTATTTGTGGATCTTGTCTTGTCTATTTATTATTTTTTTTTCAAGATAATAGGCAAAAGTAAAAAAAAAGGTAAATTTTGTCATTTAAGTAGATATAAGAAGATGTGGTATGAGTGCCAATGAGACAACTCTCCATCCAAGTCACAACTTGTAAAAGTAAACCATTATAGGTCAAACTACGGCCTTCAACACAGAGCCTTGGCTCACACCGAACAGCAAGCTATAAAGGCCCCAAAAATGACTATGTGAAAAACCATTCAAACAGGAAAACCAACTGTCTAATCTATATAAAAAACCAGAAACGAGAAACACTTATGAACCACATCAACAAACGACAACCACTGAACATCAGGTTCCTGACTTAGGACAGGTGCAAACAAATGCAGCGGGTTTAAACGTTTTAATAGGTGCCAATCTTTAAATAACTCCTATAAGAAGTTGTTTGACAAATTTGACCAAATCAGACTGTATGACAATCTCAACATTCTGAACATTTTTGTCCCTGTCAGATTTTCTCTATCTATAGTTTTCAAGATAATAGACAAATCTTGCATTTTACTCATACATATAGGTTATATTTTTACCAATGTCGGTCATGTTGGTTGGCAGACTGGGTCACCAGACATCTTTTTTAACTAGATACCCTGATGATGATTGTGACCAAGTTTTGTTAAACTTGGCCAAATAGATTTAGAGAAGATTATTGTAACAGTTGAAAAGTAAAAACAGCATTGTATTGCAAACCATGATGAAATGGAAAGTTGTTTGTGTGTAAGATTTACAAAAATATTGGAAAGATACATGATTTCAAAGTCAGATGCTTACCCTTATGGAGCACCTGAGATCACCCCAAGATTTTGGTGGGGTTCGTGTTGTTCAGTTTTTAGTTTTTCATGTTGTGTTTTGTGTACTGTTGTTTGTCTTTTCATCGTTTTTCATTTTTTGCCATGGCATTGTTAGTTTGTTTTCGACTTATGAGTTTAAATATTGGTATCTTTAGCCTCTCTTAAGAATTTGTTCTTTCCAATAAAAAAGTCATTAATATCTTTGTCATTTGAACTCTGATGGATAGTATTCTCATTGGGGATCATACCACATCCTCATTTTTATATCAATATCTCCTTTTGCCATTTTTAATCAGTCATTCTATATAACCACAAATTTTGCATATTTCCAATAAAACTGTCTAAAGGGGTTGGCTCAACAAGGAAGCATCATAAGGATTTCAAAGATTTATAATTCTTTTAGAAATTTAAGGTGTTAAAAAAGTGGCCATATACTTTCTTCTCGAGCGTCTGTCCCAGGCCACACAACAATGGAGAGACATGGTACAAATCTTAGCTCGTTCTTTAGCCATATCCACCTGCAACACTTCTGAACACTACTACTCAAAAAGCTTTAAATCTTAGTAGGTACTGTTTGCCATATGCTTGTTTGACTAAACTATATAAGTATTTCGATATTTGGCCTATTGCAGCATAATGACACTCAGAAAGCTTATGCATTTCTCCTTATCTTTGATATTGTCTGAAAATTTTGTAACCAATCACTGTAACTTAAACTTAAATAAAACATCTGATTTAAACAATTGCTTGTTTTCTAAAGTCACTAAATTCTAAAAATGAAACACTTTTCAATTGAAATGCTATAGACTAAGTGTCTGTACTTCAGCGGTTGTTGTTGGTTGCTGGAATTATTTATTGTCAAGAAATAAAGTTTTTGAGTTATCTCCTATAAGAAAAAATAGTAAATGAATAAAAGCAGTCTTTTTTGACAATGTCACAAAAAAATCCAGCATTAAAAACAAAACAATGGTCATGAAAACAATCGTACAATCTAATATGCAGTATTTATAAGACCTAAAATTAAAAGTGCTTCTGACTTGCTTAAACCAAAAATAATAAAATGGAAATAAAAATGAAACCTCATGTGCATTGTATCACCATGGAAAAACTAATTTTCTATTGGCTCACTTGTTCCCATCATTTTCAGAAAACAACAGAGACAAAAATAAGGCTCAATCTAGTGATGTATAAGTGTTCATGTATGATTGAATTTTAAGTTGAAAATCTATAAGAATAAGGTTACTGCAGGTATCATATAAACTAAATATTTTTCAAGTATTTATGAAAATGAGGTCAAGGTCAGATGACCTGTGTCAGATTTACATATCAGCCTTTCAACCATTCTATACACTAAAAATAGATGACCTTTTGCATCCCTGTCTCACATTTGTTGCAGGCAATCAAAAATTAAACAGCTGCCAGCTCCTAAGAAAAGTTTTGGAAAACATCTGATTTTTTATTTAGCATCTGTAAACCTAGAGGACTGACACACTGATGAACAGGTCAAAAACTATTTACCCCACAACTTTGTAGTGTTGGGAATAACAATAGGAAAAGACATTTGAACATGTGACGTGAATGGACATCAGCATTAAATGTATTAGAGATCAGCTATTCATAAGCTCAAGCATTTCCAACTGGTCGGTTCAATGTAGCATTTGTCAACTCTACATTCTGATTAAGAAATATATATAGAAAAACAACAACACCAAGTCAACAAAGAGCGATAAATTAATCAATGTTTTATTGGGTAAAAGATAAAACAACCTTCGTCATATTCATGCAATACAATTCAATATTACTCAACCTGTATAATAACTCTTATGCTAATTTTAGTTACAGTGGCCATGTTAGTTCACTGAATTAATAGATATACTTAATTTAATTTGTTTAAACCATGATTTTCATTTTTCTTTCGATGTGTAAATAATACACATGCATCACTAATTTACCTGTAACCTTCTAACTCGTTTGACACTTTTCACAATACCCATGTATCTTGGCATCTCAAAAGGTCTAGGTGTTTTATCATCAGTATCTTCCATTTGTCTCCACTCTAACTTCATACTTGGCATTGATTTACCCTAAAATAATTAATGATATATTAAATTACAACTCTCAACTTAGATTCTTGTGCACCAGTTTCACTGAACAAACTGTGATTTAAGATGAAGAACGACAATAAAAGTGTTTTGGTTTTGTCAGGCATGTGAAGTGATTTTGTGTAATGAATTATTACACTCTACTCTTTCTTTTTCATTAGAGTAGTTCCAGTAATCCTGCATTGCTCACTAAGCATCATTATGCACAATCTTGACCCAATCCAAGTTTTTATAATGTAAAACTAGGATTTTAATTCACTTTGCACCAAAAAAGATGTGTACATAAATATGTCAAAATGCAACTACTAGCAAGGTTCCTGACTTGGAACATACACATGAACATTTAAGGCAGTGGCTACCTACAGGAATTTTATTTTAGCTCTCAATCCTTCCCTTATAATTACTTTCATTGGAATAAGTTTCTTATATTCTTTAAATATTGGGTGAACTATATTTAATTTATAGAATCATAGTATTGCTTAAATGGCCATCTAATAGGGTTCACCTGTTGTGATGTTGACCTTGAAAACACTTCAGGTTCCCGACTTGGGACAGGCACATGATCATATGGCTGGGTTTAATTATATAATTTCAGGTGAAATATAACTTTGATCATGTAATCTAATAAATCTAATATTAACAGCAAAAATTGTCCCTTTCTAGATTTGGATATTTCAGTATCTCATGGGAAAATCAAAAGAAAACATTTTTAAAAAGAGGATTTTGCTTTCCATATTTTCAATTTTCCTTTTTTGATCCATTTATAGTGTGTACTTATTTCCCAACTTGTTTACTATGCCTGTTTCTATGCTGCCATTTAGATTCCAATGAAAGTAATCTGTGTATAACTGGTAACAAACGAAAAAACAACACTTTATAAATTGCATGCTTTCAAGTGCTTTTCCTGATTTACCTTCACAAGGCACACTTAAAAGCGTAATATTTGAAAGACCAGGATGAATGAGAACCAAAACAGTGGAATGGCTATAAAACCAAAAAGGTAAATTATTAAGTCAGGGATTTCGTTACAATAAATTCCTTACAACTTTTACTAAATTCTTTCATAGATATAAATATTTGTTTTGAAGTTTGGCTGTATATGTATATTTCTTTTAAAGAACAGGATCTCACATCCCAAATTATATGGTAAAGTTGTTTTCAAAGCAGGAAAATTTTCCAAATGATCCACGTAAACTTATTGATCCTTTGAATAATCTTATTCTTCAATAATAAAATTTAACACCTAACCAAGATCTTTGAACACATATTTTTTATTGGTACATGTTCTTACATTGATTTTGCTTTTGATAAATTTAAACATAACTAAATATGTATTGCTTTACATTTATGAAAACTTATGGTCAAACATCCTGTCTAATTATGCACTTCTATTTTGGCATTGTACAAGGTCATGCTTTGTGCAGATTGTTTATGACATCTTTACAATAAATCTGTTGGATGTGTACTGATTAATACTTTAGTCTGGGAGACCATAATAGTTGTTATTGGCTTTGAACAAGCTTTCAGTAACTGTGAGTACATTTAAATCTTTGCCTTTATGCAAGTTGTTTTTGTGCTTCTTGCCGATCTGATGAGTCGTCATTTCAAACTAATTTTTACAGCTTGTTCTAATGTTTGTGTTGCTACACCATTGTCCCAGGTTAGGAAGAGTTGAGAGCTCCAAGCCATGTTTAACCCTGCCACATTCTGTAAGTGCCTGTCCCAAGTCAGGAGCATGTAATTTAGTGGTTGTCATTGGTTGCTGTCAGTTAAATCTGTTTTTCGTTTCTTTTTTTGTCATAAATCAGTCCAAGTTTGTTTTTTTTTTGAATCGTTTCATATTTTTTCATGTCTGGGTCTTTTATAGCTGACTATACACTATGGGTTTTGCTTAATGTTGAAGATGGTAAGGTGAACTATAATTGCTTAAATTAGTTTTTTTGGACTCTGTTGGATATTCATCTCATTGGCAATGATACCACATTGCCTTATTTTATATATGCAATCGTATATTCAAAATTTAGTTAGTTTGACCTCTCTCTTAAGGAAATAACATGTCAAAATTTGTTAGCAGATTAAGATGGTGTTTAAACTTTCTGCAAGTCATAAATCATTGGATTCATGATATGCCTTTAATTCAGAATCCTGCACTGCCCCATGTTAAAATCTAGAGTGGTCACATAGACCCAGCATGGGTGGATCAAAAACAAGAATTGTTTGATAAATTCTTAATTCTGCAAATTTTTTTGTCACACTGGTAACAACCATGACTAGACTGACAAACAATTTTTTTCAATGGATGCTTTTCTACACATTTAAAGTGGGAGTAAAATATATAAACCCTCTGAAACCTTTCATTGATATTTATTCAATCTTCTTCTGTTTATCAAATAACAAATAAATACATTACCAGTATGTCTCTTGCTTGTATTAAATCAGTTCTAATATCAAATGCTGTTTCATCTGTTTTCTTTTCTGTGTCAACTGTTCTTGTTTGTTCTGGTGCAAACGTTCTTAAATATAAATTAAACTGCTACTGGGAAAATGGTCATATTAAATCATTCATTCATTTATGAACCTGATAATGTACAATAGTAACTATAGTGAATGGCTGTACACAGATTAGGACTGCCAAAGATACAGATAAAGGCCAACAACAAGTCAAAGTGAACTGTAGTCCATATCTTTATCTTTAGATAGTCTTTCTTCCTGGAAATTGACATCTAATCAAGCAGCTATCATGTTTTTTTTACTGAAGAAATGATCCAATTCATATTTGTGTAAAAAAAATCTTCTATTATTCAAGTTTTTTTCAAAAAATTTGTTCAAATTTTAAATTTGCTCTCATGATAAGAAAGAAAAAATTAACATACACTGGAAAATAATTGTATTTTTGGTTATGTGATAATTACTGATACTGATTAAGTCATTTTCAGGCATGACTAAGGGGGTCAGTGCATTCAAATCTACTTAACGGTAAAATTCATGGATGCTTCTGCAAAATATCACAGGGTTGGACATTCACAGTTGTATGATTGCCTAGCCCAATTCAAAGTTATTCTTTGGCAAGTAAAAGCTGCAGTTTACTTGTCCAATGGGCACATAAAACAAGACCAATATATGGTCTGGACATGCGTCATTGCATGCAATTAGTTGAGGTAACATGTATACTAAAGCAAAACTGATCATTTCATTTCATTAAAGACAAAAAAATGTGACAAAAATTTTCTTTGTACAATGAGTGCTGTAAAATTTCAAACTATCAGTAAACAGAAAGTGCCAAAGTAGCTGGACAGTTGATGTAAAAATTGCTTACTTGCTACAACTCAACATTTTGAAGCTGCAGACCAAATATCAAATCATGCCCTTCAATAGGAACCAAGACAAGTTTGATGAAAATTTTCCTAGTACAAAACAACAACATGTACAATGAGTGTTGAAAATTTTTAGACCATCGACAAACAGAAAGTGAATGCAGGGCTGATGTTTAAATTGCTTACTCCCTATAACTCATTATTATCAAGCTGTTGACCAAATATTAAACCATTCTCCTTTATAGTAACCAAGAAAAGTTGGACTAAAATTTTCCTTGTACAATGAGTGCTGTAAAATTGCAAACAATCGGCAAACAGGAAGTGGCTGCACGGCGGATGTATAAATTGCTTACTCTCTACAATTCAACATTATCAAGCTTCAGACCAAATATTAAATCCTTCCCTTTCTTGGAAGCCAAGAAAGAAACTTTGACAAAAGTTTTCAATCCAAGGTCTTTCAGACGGACAGAAGGATGGATTCAAATGGTTGAGACCTGCTTTTGCCTTCCGCAACACTGGCAAAATCAAAGGTTTAAAATGGAGGAAAATACAGCATCTAGTCTGTTTCTTTTTATAAAAAAAAAGCATCATATCAATCAGGACTGACAATACTGAAAAATTTACTAATTTTTTGTATTTGCTGTTTCTAACTGTAGGCATTTTGATATCTGCCTATCAGAGTATTAGTCAGTTGTTGACGCTTACTTTGAGAACTAATCAGATTAGACCTAGCTATTTTAGGATTACTTTTTAAAGAATACAAGTCACAATAATCTAAAATCAAGAACACCTTTATATCATTGATTTTTAAATCTGGAACAAAAAGTGAAATTAAGGAAATTTAAAAAAAAATATAACCAATTATTAGAACAGCATCAGTATCAATCCTAGATGTTGGATAGAACAGCAGATTAAATGGAAAATTTTCAGTGTAATTTCCATTGAAAACTTTTACAGGATGAAAGCCAAAACTAGTGGCTCTAAAGAGCCTGTGTCACTTAACTAGGTCTACTTGGCTTGTGCATCTTCAACAATGAACAATATCCAACATTGTGGACTAGAATTGATTTGCTGATCATTTTTGTTATTTAAAGCATTAATCCAGCTATTAAAGTTTTCAAGATAAAATGCAAAAACACTAAAAATGGGTAAAAATTGTCATTAAAGAGCAATAACTCCAATAAAAAGTTGACTGACAATTTCAGCCATTACAAATATAAGCAGATCTTGTCTTGCTGATTATTTTTGCTAAATTAAGGTTTTATCTATCTATGAAAGTTTTAAGATGATAGGCAAAAACACAAAAAAAGGTTAAAATTGTCATTAAAGAGTGAAAATAACTTAATAAGGAGTCATCTGACAATTTCGGTCATGTTGACTTATTTATGGATCTTGTCTTCTTTGTGATTGTTTTTGCTTATTTAAGTTTCTATCTATCTATTATAATTTTTAAGATATAAGGCAAATTTATATTTAGCACAAGAAATGGGTAAAAATCATCATTACTTATAATAAGTGAGTATTTCACACAACAAATCAATTTTTTAAAAGTACTAGGTGAACCATAAAAATGTGGTCAAGGACAATAGACATATGAAAGACAGAAACTTCTGAACATATTAAGGCATCTGGATACAAGGTTAAAAGTATCCAGGTCTTCTACCTTCTGAACTATAAAGCTTTATTCAAATAGTTTATGCCAGTTCCACCACATCAACATTGTAATCCCTACGTCACGCATTCTGGGACTTTAGTCGCAGTTATGTATAACAACTGTTTAAATTTCATTTGTGTCCTACCCTACTTTTGGAGATTTTTGACAGACAACACAAGACAGATGAGTGAAAACTATAGGGCTCCAGTATCCTCTATCAAAGCATAACCTATAATTCTTAATAGCAGCCTTTCCTTTCATCCAATAGTGAGGAAATAAAGAATTCTATAAAGCACCTTATATCCTTTAATATACCTGCCAAGTCAACTCATTATCAACTCAGCAGTTTTATTGGTAAAGATTAAAATGTAAAAAAGTTAATAGATGGACATATGATCAATGATGACAATAATCAATCTACTTTATGGGCAAGGTTAGTTACTGACTCTATGGGCAAGGTTAGTTACTGACTTTATGGGCAAGGTTAGTTAGTTACTGCTGATTCTATGGTTAAGGTTAGCTACTGACTTTATGGGCAAGGTTAGTTACTGAATTATGGGCAAGGTTAGTTACTGACTCTATGGTCAAGGTTAGTTATAAAATTCTTTCTTGCAAACAGAAACACCTAAAATATTGTCACAAGAGTGCACACTCTGAAATGTCTCACCTACTATACTGACCATTGATTTTAAGTTCATAGTCCTAAATTTAAAGTTTTACAAGTATCACATTAACATTTATGATCCAAGAAAATGAGGTCAGGGTCAGATAAACCAAGCCCGAAATACATGTACACCTTTAATACAATCATTCCATACATTGAGTATAGATGACTTATTGCATGTAGTATCAAAGAAACAGACCAAACGATGGAAATTTTATATTGACCAATGAACCATAAAAATGAGGTCAAGGTCAAATGAACCCTGCCAGACAGAAATGTAAACCTTAGGTGTTGTTTTCATTTTTTAAAAATCATTCCATGCATCAAATATAGTTGACCTATTGTTTATAGTATCTAAGAAACAAAGTTAACCAGGAACACTGAACAATGACCAATGAACCATGAAAATGAGGTGAAGGTCAGATGATACCTGCCAGATAGACATACACACCTTACAATTATTCCATACACCAAATATAGTTGACCTATTGCTTAAAGTTTAAGAAAAATGGACCATAATACAAAATCTTAACATTAAGCAATGAACCATGAAAATGAGGTCAAGGTCAAATAAAGCCTGCCAGACTGACATGTACATCATTAAATATTTCCATACACCAAATATAGGTGACCTATTGCATACAGTATTAGAAAAACAGACCAAAACACAAAAACTTAACATTGAGCAATCGTGAAAATAAGGTCAAGGTAAAATAAAAACCTGCCAGACTGACATGTACATCGTAAAATATTTCCATACACCAAATATAGTTGACCTATTGCATACAGTATTAGAAATACAGACCAAAACACAAAAACTTAACTTTTACCACTGAACCATGAAAATGAGGTCAAGGTCAGATGACACCTGCCAGTTGGACATGTACAACTTACAATCATTATATACACCAAATATAGTAGACCTTTTGCTTATAGTATCTGAGATTTGGACTTGACCACGAAAACTTGACCTTGTTCACTGATCCATGAAATGAGGTTGAGGTCAAGTGAAAACTGTCAGACAGGCATGAGGGCCTTGCAAGGTACGCACATACCAAATATAGTTAGTTGTCCTATTTTTTATAATAAGACAGAAATTTACATCACAAAACATGTTAACTTTTTTTTCAAGTAGTCACTGAACCATGAAAATGAGGTCAAGGACAATGGACATATGACAGACGGACACTTCGTATCATAAGGCATCTATATACAAAGTATGAAGCATCCAGGTCTTTTACCTTCTGAAATATTAAGCTTTTAAGAAGATAGTTAACGCCACTGCCGCCACCGGATCACTATCCCTATGTTGAGCTTTCTGCGACAAAAGTCGCAGGCTAGACAAAAACCAGCATTAAGACATGTATCTTCATTGTGATATTTGAAATCAACATATCATTTAGCCATCATCTTATTGACAACTGATTTAATAACTGAAACTTGTGAAACCACACACAAGGATAAAATCAATTTGGCAAAACAGAAATACAAATTATTATTTAATTATAATTAGAGATTTGATTGTTTTATTGGTTTTCCTATTTGCATCATGATTAATCAATAATATGTTTTGACACAATGTATTTTGAATAACAAGGAAACAGATTTTCTACATAAATCAGAAGACATGAAGTTAAGTCTGTCTTGTCAATATTGATGAAGTTATAAAAGAAAACATTTAGTTTAACCACAGACATAATAATTTGTTTAAATAATTTCAATTTCAAATTATTCTAAAAATTCAAAAAAAATCTGTCTTGAATTTGATTTGTTCCTGACAGCAGAAAACCAACCAATCAATCATTTTCAAAATATTCGCATCATCGAAATGGATGCAAAATTCATGTGACAGGTACAAAATATTTCCAATATAGTCCACACCTGTTTCTCAAAATAACATGTGTTTAACCACAATAGGAAATGATCAAATAAAGAACAAGGAAAGTCATTTTATAATGAACATCAATTAACAACTAAAATCTTACATAATTGTACTTCAGATCATTTTATCATACAATGTACTGGTATTGTCTAATCAGAACTTATGTAACTTTTTGTACTTTTATGAACCAAAACTTTAAAGAACAAAATTAAAAATCTAAAATTAAATTTTTTATTAATTTTAGACTAAGACAATTACATAAAACCATTTGAAAAGGACTTTCCATAATCAATATGTCAACAGTGAAAAAAATCTGTGCTAACAAAGTTGTCTTTTTAATAAACCTGGAAATTAAAAAATCTCAACTATGAAGGTTTGGCTTGCTTGCTTGGTCTACAAATACAGTCAGAACCTTGCAAGGTAAATTCAGCTGTTAGTATATAAGTGGCAAGACAAAATTTTAATATAACATCAGCAACATTTCAGGAATAATTTAAGTGAAGTTTTTTGTCATGTGACCTTGACAACTTATATTCATTGGCAAAAAGGGAATCACCTGTATTGATCATCTGTAATAAATCTTTACACCATTATCAATTCCTTCTAATGCCATAATATATTAATGCAGTAACTTATCTCTTATTATGCAATCTGATGATCTTATATGTAATAACAAAAGTGCACACACAGAAATGACTTTCTTGCATAATTAATCATAACTGATATTGGTGCTGAAAGTCATGAACATAAAGGCCCTACTATTAGTAATCACATAAATTTAGCATTATCAATGATCCATGAAAATGCAGTCAAGGTCAGATGAACTCTGACATACAGATATGTACACCTTATAATCAATCCATACACCAAATATAGCTGATCAATTGCTAATAGTATAACCATTTTAGAAACAGACAATTTTGGACTATGGATTTTATGAAAAGAATCATGCATAATTATTGGACAAAATAAACATGATTGAAGATCAAGTATAAATATATATAAGATAAAGTGTGAACAAGGATAATAAAACAAGATCAACATACTTTTCTGTGGCTTTGCTCTTCTTTTTTGACTCTTTTTCTAGTTTTTCTTTCTTTTCTCTTTCTTTCAAAGCTTTCCTTGCCTTGACTTGTTGTTGTGTTCTTTCTATATCTTGTAACCTTGCTTGGTTAATTAAGGGTCTCAGTTTTTTCCAATATGATGAGGATCTTGTTTTTTCTAAAAGGTTTAATGTATCATATCATTTATTTCATTCTTAACGGAAATGATCAAGTTTATTCAAAACTGACTTAAAAATGTAGTTTGGTTAACTTGAAAATTGAGGAAAATTTCTTCTTGTGTTTCTTAAACATTAAAATTATATATAATTATGTATTCTCAAAATGAAATGTCCTCATAAAACTAAGTTTAAAAAAATATAATTAATAAATCAGAATTAAAAATATGAGCTTTCAAACAAAAAATAAAACTGTTGACACAGAAATATGTCTTACCTGTATCTAATTTTGATAGTATTATAAAATGGCAATATTTTAACATTCAAACTTGCAAAACATTCAATGAAAGAAACATGATGAGGGGGCGGGCTATATAATCTCCATGGTACAATTGCATACCAAATATCATTGACATTGGTGGTTCATCTTAACATGTAAACTAAGCAAAAGTGTTGAAATCGATAGACAATGAATGAGGGGAAGGGACCAAACAATCTCAATGGAAATGAGAAGTGCCAATGCTTATACAACTGCATACCAAATATCAATGTTCTGCCACTACTGGAACCCCATAAACTGACCTAATCACAATCTATTATATTGTTGACACTACCGCCACTGCCACAGACACAGTCAGAAACAGCAACCATTAGTGTTTCGCTTTTTCAACTTAGTTAATGCAAGACAAAAATCATATATTTTTGAAGTCACTGAATGTGAATATTTGCAGACTATGTTCTTTCATAATCCTCATTTGTCTTTGTATCTTCAGATAATCACCAACTTCTATCCATCAACTTAAACATCTTTAATAAAATTATTCCCTGATGGTACTTTACCAAAACCACAAACCTAACCACAACCATCTTCTTTGTAAAAAATCAATAAAAGTGCACAAATCTCTAAGTCATATAAGGGAATAATCAAAATATAAAACCTCACCTTAATTACTAAGTACACTGGAATATTGATAAATCAACCTTAAAATGGAAATTAGGCAAAGGTTTGATTTACCTGTTAGACATGCACTTTATACCAATTCAAAAGATAGATACTAAAGAACCATAGTAAGCAAGCTCACATATTCATGCTCCAACTTCTTTGAAGAATGCTAGTGCTAAACAGTACAATTACAAAGTGGTCCTCCTCAGAAAGGTTTTTTCTGAAGTAACATCTTTTGTTAATCAAACTCATACAAGATGCTGATGATAAAAGGCTTAGTAAAGGCACAACAATATTTGTCAAACAAAATTTGTTTAAAGAAAGAATCATTTATGATTTTGGGTCATTCTGGTCCTAAAATCAAACGTCTCTCAATTCATTTTTTTATTTACATAATATAAATCTCACATTTAGCTCCCTGCTTTACTGATCATGATTCAATTTTATGTTGATAAGTTTTTTAGATAACAGTTTTATTACAGCTATCACAGTGTCAGTCATCCATTAAAATGAGGTCAAAGTCAGATGGAAATGTACACCTAACAATGATTCCATAAGAATGTCCTGATGTTAATACTTTGTAATACTTTGTAAAAAGGCAAAAGATACCAAAGGGGTATTCAAACTCATAAGTTAAAGATACCTTCCATAGCCAATATATATCAATATTATATAAATACATATCATCTGCAGATTCTCTGTCAATCAATCTCTATGATATTTCCAAATATACCTATTTCTTCGCTGCTACTCGTAAAAAATTTAAAATTCTCAAAAAAATAGAAAATTTTCTAAATCCTTGCCTAATATGAGATTCATTGGATGATTCAGATAAAAAGGTAGTCTTTGACCAACTAACCTGTATTCTACATTTAAAATTGAATACAGTTTCACAAACTTTGATTTTCTGAGTTTTTGTATTAAAAGTAGAGATATGATTTGAATCACCCCTTGTTGCTTGTTTTGATATATTCATACCAGCTATTCATGATTCACTTCTGTCACTAATTCAAGAAAGTGAACATTTATTGCAGATTGTGAACTTTTGCTATCAGCTCAGGTGTGTGAACTTTGGAAACAAGTTCACAGATCTTACCTCTTTTAACAACCTGAAATACTGAGTCCATATACTCCTCCAAATCTTCTGAGGAAACTTCACTAGAAACATCATCCTCTTTTTCTTGAACCTTTGTTTTTGACTCAAGTTCAGCTTTAGCTGCAGCTGCTGTTATCTCCCTTAGCTGTCTCTTCTCTTCATGTTTCTGTAGGCGAGACAGTGTCCCTCGTTTTACTTCAAGTTCAGCTGAAGATATTAATTGAATAAAATCTATAATAATAATAAATAGTTGATCTTATATTTTAAATGCCATATGTCTGTATGATTTACATCATGTGAGTAACAATATTCTTGATTTGATTTGGTTCCTGAGATTATTTACATAAGTATACATAGACTTTAAATTATTACTTAACTTCACACAAAAATATCTAAGAATAGATGAAGTTTGACAAAATAATAATTTCATCTTCAATGATATTCAAAGGAATGTATGTCTTTATACTACATAAATTAGTCACTTTTAAACAAATCTTTATGTTAAACATATTGCCAAATATTATGTATGACATGACTGTTAAAATCCATTGATTATTAATAAGAAACAGAAAGATTGCATGTCTAATAATAGAAATATAAGTTGCTACTAAGAATACAAATAAATGAAGTCACTAAGTCTCTTTTGAAACAAAAAGCAAAATGTATTTTTCCATAGGATTTCAATGTAAACTTTGTCCTTTGTTGGAGGCCATATTGAAACATTTGTTAAGGACCTTCAAAGGAACATCTGGCAAGTTTGGTTCCAATTGGTTCAGTAGTTCTTGATAAAAAATCTTGTAATTTCAGACCAATTGGACCCTCTTATATGGTCCCAATAAGCCATTTTGGATTTTTTATTTAAAACCAAAGTAACAACACTTGGTACCATTAATTTCCTTCAGAGAAACATTTCTGCATGGTTTGTTTGAATTATACTTCATCTGTTCTTGAAAAGAAATGCAATATGTAATTTCCAGTAAACTTGACCTTAACTGGCCGCCATTCTAAATCCACATCATTTATGGTAAACAATACTTTTTAAGGACTTTCACAGGAATATATCTGGCAAGTTTTGATTCAATTAGTTCAGTTGTTCTATAGAAGATTGTGAAAATGATTTATTTATTAGTTAGCAGCCTCAAACTAACTTTCAGTAACAGCAAGTACTCTTAAATTGGTATTTTGTGTGTTTGAATGCAAGATGATTTTCTGCTTCATTTAGACTCTGGTGGATAGTTGTCTCATTGGCAATCATACAATATCTCCTTATTGTATATCTAATGAGAAGGTGTTAAACCTATTTTCAGCACTTTTGGCTATATTGTTGAGGCGGGGGGGGGGCAGTTTCTGTTCATAATTGAATCAGGAGTGCACAAAGAGAACCACCGACCTTAAGCAGGAAAACTGGCTATCCTAGTCAATTAATATCAGAGTTGAATGCCAGTGCAGGGTTCAAACTCAGGCCTCAGTGTTCAAAGGCTAGTGATTGCTGTAGATGAACTTCTTAGACCACTCTGCCAACAAAGCCCCTAAGAGTACTTACAATGTTGATCTTCAATAAATTAGTACTGTAAATTCAGAAATTACTGTGTGCATTTATTATTGCGATTTTTGAAGAATGGACAAAAATGAGAGATTAATTAATGCGATTTCAGGAAAATCTGCATTAAGATATATATATCGGATATCAGAATGCGAGTTCTTATTATTGCAGTGCTCACTTAGTCGCATTATTCACATTAATAAAAACCTCACAATAATTTCTGAATTTACAGTAGTGTACATTTCCAAGGACATAACTCACCAAAAAATATTCTTACCATGCTAGCTTGAAAACTTGTCTGCCTTATTTTTTATTTAAACCATTGATATATATCAATATATATGTATGCCAAAAATATTCCATCAGTTCAGATTTTAAACTCACCTGAGACATTGCTGAAGAAAATCTTTGACATAAATTTCATTAATCTCTGATGAGGATAGTAGATGTGAGAGTGCTTACAAAATTTACTTTTTCATGTTATTCACAATCAAAGGGGCACAAGACCAACAAAAAGTGATTGGTTTATCTTGATTATTTAACTCATCCTGGATATTGCTGATATCAACCTTTGACATAATGCAATAAACTTCAATGAGAAATGTCAGCACAACAGTGCTTACAATGTTGATTTTTAATATCATTTTCATTTCCAAGGGAAATAATTCCCTAAAAATAATCAATCACCCCTGATTTCAATCTAGTCAAACATTTTGCTAATATTAATCTTTGTCATAAATTCTATTGAAATGCACTGTTGGCATTAGTGAGATTTTACACCATGTGAGCTTAAAAAAGTGCTAATACAACATCAAGTGTGCATAGAACATTGAACTGGCTTTCATGCATTTCATCAAAAGTGAGAACTGACAAAGCAGTTGTTTGGGATAAAACTGCATGCAAGTGAACATTATTGCTGATTTGCAGAGTCCATGGCCATATTTAATACACTTATAAAAAAGAAAAAAAACATGCTTGATAACCACTAACTGAATCACTTATAAATAAGAAGAAACAAAACATGCTGGAGTACTAGTTCCAATAATTAATATACTTATAAGTAAAGGAAACAAAACATGCTAGATTACCTATAATTGATATACTTATAAATAAGGAGAAACAAAACATGCTAGATTACCTATAACTGATACAGATTTCACTGAGAGCTCTTCTTCTGTACAAATCAAATGGATTATTTATTAAAACTTGTGTTTTTTTTTAATTTCTAAAATGCATTGATGTTATTCCATGTACAAAAGGGATATGCTGCAAGGTTTTTTAAAATGATTCTATTTGTTTATGTATAACAGGTTTGCTGTAGTCCAGAATTACTTCCTTTTAAAAGTGAAGTGACACCCAGAGGATTGCTGGGAGTATAGAAATATGATTATTTCTTCAATTTTCCCATCTGACTATGCCTCAAGCTACGTGTCTGTTTGGCTATTCCATATATATTATATACATATATATATATATATATATATATAATTCGTCTAAACAACAGCCCAACAATGTTAGATCTGTAAAGGACAAGGTACGAAAAGCCCCCGTTTTGGCCCCCCTATTTTCTCATTTTTCAAATTTTGTTTTGGAAAGCTACTTATTATGTTGAAATATTCCCTTAGTTTTGAAGTTTGTTTGGATGAACTTCAAAACCATTATTTTCAGCAACTAGATGAGGTGAGGGGGGTGAAAGGGCATCAAAAACGCCAAAAGTAGGAAAAATTACGATTTTTGGCCTCTGTTTCTTAAAATTTAATAGCGTGCGCCTACGTGACCCAGAGAAAATAATGGCGATCTAGACAGCAAAAACAGTGATAATGACATTGTAATAAAAAAGTTCCTGGGTCACATTGGCGCATGCACTTAAAAATTAAAAAATCGTTGTACAGAACACATCCAAAGTGAATAATAATTACAATATCTGAATAATAACGGAAAGTTTACCCTCTTCGCCTCACCCAGTTGCTGAAAATAATGGTTTTGAAGTTCATCCAAACAAACTTCAAACCTCAGGGAATATTTTAACATGATAAGTAGCTTTCTAAAACAAAATTTGAAAAATAAGAAAATAGGGGGGCCAAAACGGGGGCTTATCGTACCTTGTCCTTTGCGGAAGCAAATATTTTGTTCTTCCCTGGCCGGGATTCGAACTCATATATATATACAGAAAGGTGTAGTAAGAATGGAAATATTAAATCTGGTGCCTCATGTAGAAAGAGTCCCACCCTTTTTGCATGTCAAAGAAACATTGCAACAACTCTTTGGGGTGACCTGTTGCAAGGCTAGGTTTCTGACCCTATAATCCAACATATTCCCATTTTCAAGTGCTAATCAAAATCCCTGTCCTTCGTCCTCATTGGCCCACTTTGCAGAACCTACATATATGGTATCGTAATTTATCTGTATATGCATGAAATATTTGCCATTGGACATTAGGCAAACAACAACCAAATCAAAAAATATCAATCAATTTTATACAAATTATTTTAAAAAAATAAACATATTTCCAAATATTTGAGATGTCTAATCATGCACAATTGCATCAGGAATTTCTCATTTTCTATACCCAAAAACCAAAAACAAAAATGATGTGACCAAAAATCTAAGAGAAACTTAATGTTAAGATAATAGATAATAAATATTAGCTTTAGATTTCTGGAGAGTGAAAATATAGTCTCTAGTATTAAAAGTGCACTTTTCCTAACTTTTCACTACTTTGTTATTATTTTTTTTCTAGCATACAATAGTAAAAATAGAGTCAAAGTGTAGGATAAAAAAATTGTCACTGAATTCTAGTACACTGGTAATTAAGCTGTCAGCATAAAATCAAGATCCTACTGAGGATTCTTTGTCTGAGTATACTATATATGTCTTTTATACTGAGTTGGATATAGTAAATTTAACTTAAAAATTTTGAAATAATTTTCCCAAAATTTGTTCAAAACCCAATACAAATATTATAAAGTTTACACATGTGAAATTTTTTATCTGCATTTATTGTTACAAAGATACTGTGTTTTAAGGTCTGATGAATTACCCAATATTTTGTAGTTTCCTTGACACTGTCATAAAATAGGAAGAAGATAAATACCATATTCAATTCATATCATAAAATCAGCATTAATTAACTATTTTTTTCACCCTAGGCAAATTTCCTTTTGGCAAATAAACCTGCAATAAATGGACCATATGGAAAATTCCTAACTTGTTAAATTAAATAAACCAAACAGGGGTAAACCCTTTCATGATTGCATAGATAAGGCCCAATTACAGTAACAAAATAAATGACTGGAACTAAATTTGATTGAAAATGGGTAGTAATTGATATAAACTTTTAATTTAGACTTTAAAAGATTCACTCAACATTCCAAACACTATCATCACATGCTGGCATTTTTCATTTTTCTGCCATCCTGGTAAAATGATCAACTTATAAAATACAGCTAAGGGCTGAAATGAAACTTGTATGGTCTAAGGTTGAATGAACAAAAGAAGTACTATAAATCAACCTAAAACTTCAAAGAAAAATACTTTATATATCAATTTATGTCAATAAAAGTATTCTATATATAAATTTCCAATAAACTTTTAATGATTTACAAGAAGCTTTCACTTTAATAATTTGGCATTTGAATTATTTATTAATCTCATTGAATATGTTTTAAAAACAGTGATGTTTTAATCTTGGATCTAAATTAAACATTTAAGTTGAATGATCACATCATAAATCATAGAATTTTCTTTTTAATATTATACAATTTATTCTATTATAAAGTTTATCTTGATACAAAGTTTGATGTTAAAATTTGATATCAGCTTTAAGTAACAATGATAAATGTTTAAATCACATCCTTCACTTAAATATTTAATTATAATCTGCACGACATGGATGTAAACTGATTAGTCATTTTTTGTTCATTAATGAAACCAAGACATATTTAATGATATTTAATAAAATAGCTATAGAACTTGAGATTTTCATTAACAATTTGATACAAAAATCATACAAAAAAACTTCAAAGTTTTACTGTCAAAATATGGGAGGGTCTTCAAAATTAAATAATTAAATTTAAATTATAAAATGAAACTTAGGTACAGCTGTATCATATTTTATGATGGGTTTGTCCATAAGATTAGAATAAAACTAATTCCATATGGTCAAAGGCTCAATAATAATATTTTCCCGCGTTTCGATCAGTATAGCGGGAAAATGTTGTATTCTCGGTATGGAATCGTTAATTTTCGGTAGGCCGATGTACATCTATCCAATCAGGGGGCTGAGTTGTGGTCATATATAAGGTGTTTTTTTTTTTGTGTGGTAACTTCACTTCTAGCCGTCGTATTGACCGAGTAAACTTATGGACGCCAATTTACAGCAAGTTATTCAGACAGAGGTACAAAATGCCGTTCAAACTACGCAGGACCAGTTGTTGAACAACATGACGAAGTTACTGGATTCACGTCTGGAGGGTTTCCAAAAGAGGATACAAGACAACCAGAAAGTGCTGTCAGATACTCAAATAGCAAGAATGGACGAATCACTAACCGACAATTACAAATTTCGAAAGAGGGGGAATGAGGAGCAACACAAGCACAACCAGAAAGTGTTCGTTAAAATTAGAGAAGCACACGCCGAATTCGAGACCGACAACTTGACGCAGTCAAACATTAACAGTGCCAAGAGAAAAATTTCTGAAGGTATGGACTTGATTAAAAATCGACAAAAGCTGATAAAACTTGCCGATTCATCAGACGCGGGATGGCGCGTGGTAGATGAATACGTAACTAACCCACTGGCAGAAGATTCAGAGGACGAAAAGAAGATGTATAAAGCGCAAAATAGAGCAGAAAGCAAGCTGAAGAAGGAAAAGTTAAAAAGACGCCCAGACCGCAAGAGCGTGCCATACACACAACAGGCCCCAGCAAAAGCAGCAAATTCGATCCCGGTGAACGTTAGTGGTGGATCCAGGTCTGATGTACGACCCGGTAGATGCTTTCATTGTAATGAGTACGGGCACTGGATTAGGAATTGTCCAAAGTCTGCTGCAGAGCAAAAACACAAGATAAGTATTGATACTATCGATAACGTAAAACTGAATACACACCCAGAGACCGATCTAGCATCGGGTGAACTCTATTCAATGAGTAATGTAAATTCAATAACACAGACATCACGTGATGTCCAGTCAATGAGCAATACACATACTACTACTATAGTAAAAAATAACGGTACAGGTGTAGGTCATTTAAAAGAGAGCTTGAGCGAATGGAAGAAAATAGGTGCCACGGATTTTGTAATAGACATTATAGCAAACGGGTATAAAATTCCTTTCAGTACCATTCCATGCACGGTTGAATTACAAAATAACAAATCGGCACGAGACAATCCCGATTTTGTAAAGAGCGAGATTGAAAAACTGCTGGAAAAAGGATGTATTACTCGAGTGTCTCGTAGGCCATATGTAGTTAATCCTCTAACTGTAGCTCATAATAGAGGTTCAAAACTCAGATTAGTATTAGATGCAAGACATATCAATCCACATGTCGTTAAATTTAAACACAAATACGAAGATGCAAAAACTGCTAGACAACTATACGATAAAGGAGATTTTGTATTCTCTTACGATTTAAAAAGCGCATACCATCACATTAGTATTTTTGAAGCAGACACTACATATTTAGGTTTCAAATGGGAGCATGAATATTATGTGTATAATGTTTTGCCTTTTGGGTTGTCAACTAGCGGATATATTTTTACAAAGGTAGTCAGGGAGGTTATCAAATATTGGAGAAGTACAGGTTTAAAAATCGTCATGTATCTAGACGATGGCCTCGGCGGGGGCAAAAACATGAAAGAGGCTATGTTAGCGAGCGAAAAAATTCACTCCGATTTGGAGAAATTTGGTTTTGTTCTTGCAGCAGAGAAGTGCAATTGGGCCCCTATTCAAAGTTTAGAATGGTTGGGTTTTCATTGGGATATGACAGAAGGGGTTATAAGAATTACCGAAAAAAGAATAGAAAAGCTTTTAAAAATTTTAGAAGTTTTCAGGACACAATTTCACTACGGGATTAGGCTTTTCCGGGTGAAATTCATTGCAAGTATTGTAGGACAGATCATATCAATGCAGCCTGTATTAGGAGATCAGGCACGTTTAAGAACAAGGTATTTGT